CTAATGAGTTCCTGCTGGGCTTCTTCTACAAAAAAAGCACTGAGTGGATCCAAGCCAATGCTCTTAAGCCAGCATGACCCACCAGGTCACAGTGGAAGAGAGGTCCTTAATAAGGATGCCACCATGGAAGAAATTCTTCTGTTTTATAAGCTGTAAGTCTGGCTGTGCCTTGACGTGGATAAGCCCAGGCGAGCCTGATCCTGTCAGATCTGGGAAGCTAAGCGGTGTCGGCCTTTGCTAGTATTTGGATGGGAGACCAGACCTCCAAGGAATACCAGGCAGACAATGGCCAAACCACCCCTGAAGGCCCCTTGCCTTGAAAACCCTATGGCAGGGGTGGCCAAACTTGCTTAACATAAGAGCCACACAGAATAAACGTCAGATGTTTGAGAGCTACAAGACATGAACAAACATTATGCAGATATTTTTTTATCAAAAAACTGCAAATTTGCCTTTTATTTACATTAAATGAGACTGCCAGAAATAAAAACAAAAGGGATAAAACAGATATTGATAATGATATATATTTGTCCAATGATGCTTATTTGTTGGCTAATAATATTTATTTAAGAGAGAGAGAAAAAGAGAGGTGGAAAGAAAGAATGAAAGAGGTGGAGAGAGAGAGAGAGGGAAAAAAGAAAGCAAATAGATGGGGAGGGAGGGAGAAGGAAGAGAGAGAGAGAGAAAGAAACAAAGAAAGTAATGATGGGGAGGAAGGAAAAGAGAGAGAGGAAGGAAGGGAGATAGAAAGAGAGAAGAAAGGTGAAAAGAAAGAAAGATGTGGAAAGAAAGCAAATAGGTTGGGGGAGGGAGGGAGGGAGGAAGGGGATGGGAGAGAGGGAGAGAGAGAGAGGTGGAAAGAAAGCAGATAAATGGGGGGTGGGAGGAAGAGAGAGTTGGAAAGAAAGCAACTTTTACTTTAAATGTGTTCTCCAACCTCCCTATGCCAGCTGGTTTGGCTTGGAGAAGGGATTTAAAGAGACAAATGCCTTCTCCAAGCCGGACAGGTGGTGGTGGGGTGGCTTTGAGAACACATTTAAAGGTCAAGTCACTTTCTTTCTCTGCTCTCCCCCCAAGCCTACTCAGGGAGGGGAACGCTGGCTGGGGAAGGGAAGACCCACTGGGGAGGCATGCCTCCCCTTCGTTTCACCAGCTGCCTTGCCTGGAGCCACACAATATTGTGAAAGAGCCGCATGTGGTTCCTGAGCCACAGTTTGGCCACTCCTGCCCTATAGGGTCGCCATAAGTCAGCTGTGACTTGATGGCACTTTCCTCCACCACCAGGTCTGGCTGGATGGACCAATGGTCTTAACTCAGAATAACAAACAGCTGTGGCAACACACAAACAGATTTTGTCCTCTCATGTCCGCCTTCTTCTGTGTTCTGGGACCAAATTAGATGTTATGGTATCCACAGGTCCAACCCATGGAGCTGAAAGCCATTTTAAAAAGAAAGAAAATATGCTAAATAACCCACATGTTTAATATGAATGATTTAGCCTAAGTGAGGGAAGTGAATTTCTGGCCACAAGATTTCAGCACCCAGCGTCTGCAGCCTCCTGTTCCATGCGGTGCCCGGGGCAAACAGGGGAGAGGGCATTCCCAGCAATGGCTCATTCTTCCCAGGAGAGAACCAAGCTCTGCTTCTCTGGTACGAGGGCGTGCCGCTCCTGCTCCCTCAGCTTAGGACAGGCGCCTCACTTGCTGGTGACTCAGAACTGCTCACTGGAACTGAAGCCTGTCTCCAGCAAAATGGCCTGTCTGGTTTCATTCACTCTGCAGGACTCTCCGCTGAGGCTGGGTGCAGGGAAGGCACTTCTGCATGTCACTGGGAGAAGAACCCGCTGGGCCTGTCAGGTCATAGAGAATACAGCCATTCCAGGATGCCGTGTGACAAAAGCTGGTGGTGGCCACTTGTGGGACCCAAAGAGCAGCACCAGCATTGGACTCGCTCAGGGGCTGGAGAGCCGAATGCAGGTTGCCAGTTGTTTAGCCAGCAGTGCCCTGGACCAGCCTTTGGTTCTAGCCAACACCTGCTGACAGGAGGGGGAGGCACTCTGCTGAGTCATGTTATGTATTAGGGCTGAAACACTCCAGGACCCTTTACCAGAGACTGGCTGAGCTTGAAACTCGAGAACAATAGCCCACCAGGACTCTGGAGGTGGCCAATAAGGAACTAATGTTATGTAAATAGACTTTCATTGGGAATTGGGTGTGCTTGGGTATGGTTTTTGCATGCTATTTAAACATGGCTGTTGCCCTGAGGTTTTAGTCTTGTTCCTGAAATCACTTAATAAAGTAGAGCTGTTCACTGCAATGTGTCTTGAACCCAGTATTTAATAGTCATGTTGTCTTCTCCCAAGTGGGAGGGAGCTCTCAGCTTCTGCTGACTCAGCTTATCAGGACCAAAGAAGTCAACTGGACAGGAAACTGTTCCCATCCCTTTAATAGTAGTTTAATGGGTAGAGTTGGGCAGTTGACGCTTTTCAAGGCATGGAGGTAAATAACACCTCCTGATAACTGCTTGCCACTCAAGCTAATTTTGGAGGGACCAGTTTAAAAGTTGGAAACCCTAGTCAGCCTTGAGACCAGCCAGGTGCTGGCCCTAGGAAGTCCATAAGGACGGCATCAAGGCCTTCCTGTGTTTTTACTATTTGGTATTCAGAAGCTGGAGGCCTGTGAACATGGCCAAACCTAGTTACCTAGCAATAGGATTGCCAACAACTTGGAGAAGAAAAGGCCTATTCCTTCAATAGAGGCTTAATAGGCAATGATAATTACCTCCATGCCAAGCAAAGCTTCAGCTGCCCATTTCCACATGTTAAGTATCCATTAAAGGGACAGGACATTTTTCTTCAGGCCTGCTGGCTACCCTAATGTCTGTATGCTTCAGAAGCTTTTGCAGCACATATTGGGTTCTCTGCATGTGGAGAGTTGGTCTGTGGTAATGTGGAGATAGATCAGGATGGGTAGCCGTGTTTGTCTGTAGAAGTAAAAAACAGCAAGAGTCCAGGAGCACCTTAAAGATTAACAAAATTTCTGGCAGGGTAGGAGCTTTCCTGAGTCACACTGCTCACTTCTTCAGATATAGCTAGAGAGTGAGTCCATCTGTTCAGATGGACTCACATTGGATGGACTCACATTCTACCTGTATCTGAAGAAGTGAGAGGTGCCTCACGAAATTTTGTTAGTCATTAAGGTGCTATTGGACTCTTACTCTTTTCTACAGCTTAATGTGGAGGTTCCTTGCATTTTGAAACCCCTTGTGCTAAAGTAGGGATACAGGTCATTTTCCTATCCTGTTTACTGAAAGAATGAGATGGCATAAAATGGAGGAGAATGTTTTAAGCTGCTTTAGGTCACCATTGGGAAGAAATCGATTTTTGTGGAAGTGCTGAGATATGCCTCTTTCAAGGGCCACTTTTAGGTTTGCAGTGGCAATTGCGGCAGGATTTTCCACTACATCCACCAAGCAGAAAAGGGAAAACCACTATGGTTGAAGCAGAACCAAAGAATACGGAGCAGAGGAACAGTGGTTAAGTACCTATTTACATATGTTAAGGTGCAATGTGTAGTGGTTAGAGGGCTGGACCAAGATCAGAAAGACTAGACCTGGATCCAAATCTCTGCTCTGCCCTGAAGTTTGAAAGTCACTCTCTCAGTTTAGCCTAACCAGGGTCATTTCGTAGAAAAAGAGGTGCAGGAGCTCATTAGCATAACTTATTAGCATAATTTATTTGCACATGCCACACCTCCTGACATCACCGGAAGTGTGTCAGAAGGCAACACTCACTGCTCATGCTCCACTGTACTGTTTTGGATTGCTAGCTATTGAGGTGGGGGGGGGGGACGTGCAGATCTGTCCTCGCAGAGGAGGGAGAGCTTGTACCTGAATAAAACTAGGTCTTAAAGGTGCCACTGGAGTGTTTTGGAGGGGGGGGCGCGGCGGAGCTCTGCAACTTAGGTTGCTGCTTCTTGCTCTGACTGAGGGCTGCTGGGAGCAGGGGTTGGGGTTTGTTGCATGTGCCTGCCTCCTGGGCTCTTTACTGCCAGAGTTCCACTCCTGTGTGCTCCTGCAGAAAATGACCCCTGCCTTGAATAAACTTTTGTTGGTCTTAAAGGTGCCACTGGACTCTAAATCCGTTCTATTGCTTCAGACCAACACAGCTGACCACTTGGATCTGCTCCATACACTGTAATCACACCTGGAGGTCGGCACCTCTCCTGTAGAGACCAACGTCCAAAGCAGCCATTTTTTTCTAGGGGAACTGATCTCTGATGCCTGGAGATTTGTTGTAATCCCAGGATATCTCCAGGCCCCTCCCTACTATAGAGATAAAAGCGGTAATGGTGAACCATATGAACTGAACTCTTCAGAGGAAGGGCAAGATATAAACAACCGGGATAGCTTCAGTATCAGCTGGATAGAAGCCAAGGATGGATTTGTTTCCAAAGGGGCAGCCTGTTATTCCGTTGCAGCAAAAATAAAAGGGAGTCTCGTGCCACTTTCAAAACTGACAACTTTATCCTACCACAAGCTTTTGCGGACGAGGAACCACTTGCTCGAATGCATTGCAATAAGGGGCTCCTCGCTGTCACTGTGCAGACTTTTTTATGCTGGAGATATGGGGGGGAAACCGTTTGTTGGCTGTGACACTCATGATGTTTTATGAGGAACGAAATGTGTATATAAATATTGTGAATATGACACCGACTGAACAACAACAAAGCGTAGTTCAGCTTCTCCGGGGAACACTACAACTGTCTTTGGCGCCAACTAAACCCAACCAGCTCTGCCTGGCAAGCCTAACCATTGGTTCTAACCCAGGAATCCTCGCCCCAGCATCCAAAGACCCGGAGGTTCCAGCTTCTAGTTCCTCCAATATTGACACGCCCCCTCTCCGGGCTTTAGCCCCGCCCTCCTCTTGCAGAGGGGGTTCTTTTTTCCCCCTGCGGGGCGGGGGGAGGAGTGTGCCTGTTTTGCGCGCTGCCTTCAGGCCAATGGGGTGGCGCCCCGGGCTGGCCCTGTCGCGCCGTGATGACGGCATCTCCCTCTTTTTTTCCGGAAGCGGAAGGCGGTTGGGATGGGGAAGGCGCCGCTGGGGCGAGAAGTCCGGGGCTGGCGCCCGTGATTGTGGGGCGGGGATGGCAGGTGCCCGGGGCGGCCCCTCCCTCCTCCAGGGTGGCGGGGCTTGGGAGCGGGCCTTGGCCGAGCTGCTGCTGGAGTTTTCGAGGGCGCAGTACCGAGCCCGGGATGGTGGTGCGGGAAGCGGTGGCGGCCCCGCAGGAGGAGGGGGAGTTGGCGGAGGAGGAGCTGGGAGCAACGCAAAGGTGAGTCGGGGGGGGGGGAGGGTTGGTGGAAGAGGTCCCCCCAACTTGCCCTGGTGAGCTTTAGTCCCACTGTGCAGAGTGGGTGGTTTCAGGTCTCACCACGAATTCAGTTCTTGGGTTGCCGCTTCTTTTGGGGCAGGGTTCAGGCCGCTTTAGACAACTGCATGACAGGCTGAAATCAACAGGTGCAGCTTTTGCGGTGATTTCTGGTTCGCGGAATGATCTTAGTTAGTTTTTAAGGTTCCGCTGCCTTCCTGTTTTATTTTGCTACTCCACACTCCAGAAGCTACCCTTCTGGAAGTACATGTACATAAAGTTTGTTGGTATAGGGAGCACTGTATCATTTGTATGTTTTCGTCCTTGTGCAAAGCCATTTGTCAGCCTTTGCTTCTTGACTTTTCTACTACAAAAAAAAGTTTTCCTTGTTTGTCCATAGCTAAGCACATGCATGCTTCTCATTGTGTACATTTAATGAGAAGCTCTAATGAATGTTGGGTTAATGTAGCACATACCCAGGAAGAATTGGACCAGTTTTGCAGAATAAGTCCACAGTTCTAAAAAGCTGATGTACGGTATTTACTACCAGGTGTGCCTTATGTGCCTTGTTTGGTCCTTCACTATCAATTAAGAGCTTAAAGTGAAAGATGACACTATTTTGTAGCAAGTAGTGTGTGTGATTCACTTCTCCCATGTGGACAGTTATTGCTGTGTTGAAGCCCTGCTTGCTATGCATGGTTCAGGTGTGACTTCTCTAACTGGGTGTGGTGACTGGATGTGTTTAGCTGGTGCATTCCATCGTACAGATTACTCTAGTTGGTTCAGTGTTGATGTTTGCTTGAATGTCTTTTATGTATTTGGTTATATTTATTTTTAAAAAACAGCAAGGGTTAAGAAAAGGAAAAAGAGAAAATGGGTTATATAGCATCATTATATTTATTGAAGACAATCATGTAGTATGTAAGTATAGGATAAAGAATAATTTCCCTTTCATTCCCTTTACTATAATTTTTAAGGTGTTAACTATAAAATACAGTAATTCATATTTCTGTTGGGGTACAATTTGTCATTTAAGTGAAAATACATTATATATCTCATATAGAGAACCCATTTATATTATGGATATTGCATTTGGAGCAGATTTTAATTCTACTTCTGTTTCATTGCCATACATATGTATTTTCTCAGTTTACGTTTGTCTCCTGCTAGCATAATACACATAATATGCACTCCATCTTTCCCCAGATTTCATAGTAGACCTGTTTCTCAATAGGTTGTTAATTTTGTCGTTTCTGCATATTCAGCAAGTTTATTTTCCCATTCTTCTAAAAGTGGACAGACATCTAGTTTCCATTTTACTGCATTAATAGCTGTCACCATGTCTTTGAATAATCTAATTTTTTCATAATTTGTTAGGCAGAACACAATAGTATGCTCTTGGCTTCCACTGGGAATTTAAACTTTCATGTATTCTGCATTTTTGGTGTATTTCTTTCCATACTACATATGGAGGAAGGTTCCATCTCTTGGTTGAATGTCAAGGCAGCAGCCTTGTGTTCTCTCAAGTGTGTTTTCTTTTTACATTTTGCTTTCTTGCGCTATCTAATCAAGCTTGCTTGTTATCAGCCCTTCACTGTTCCTGGTTCTTCCTCCCAGTCAAGACAAAAGTAGTGACATGGAAGACCTTCTTTGCTGTCAGCTGTGCTGATTAAGTAACTTCTCAGAACTTATTTTTTGTCAATAAATATTTTCCTGGCTATTGAAATATCATCTTTTTTTCTTCTTTTTTCTTTTTGGTACCTGTTTAAAATCTTCCCTATTCCATTCTGTGCAGCTTCTTGCCATAAACATGAAACAATAATGCTGGATGCTAGTTTCAGCTTGTTAGGGTCATTGCCTTAGCCCACCTGTTAAAAACACATATGCTCATGAAGTCTTGCTTTACAGTTAGGTGGGGATGTATAAAATGGTGACTGTAGTGTTCTTTGTACAGTCAGCATTACAGAAATGTTAAGCCGTAACATGACACATCTGTTGCCACATTTCAGTTATCCAACTGTAGCCCTGAAGATGGTGAAGTGACTCTCATAGAAGAATTTAATGATGTTATCTTGGCAAGAGCCAGCTTGGTGTAGTGGTTAAGTGTGTGGACTCTAATCTGGGAGAACCAGGTTTGATTCCCTACTCTTCCACTTGCAGCTGTTGGATGATCTTGGGCAAGCCATAGTTCTGTCAGAGCTGTTCCTGAAAGAGCAGTTCTTGAAAGAGCTCTCTCAGCCCCAGCTACCTCACAGGGTGCCTGTTGTGGAGATGAGAAGGGAAAGGAGTTTGTAAGCCGCTCTGAGACTTCAAGTGAAGGGTGGGGTATAAATCCAGTCTCCTCTTCTTCTTCATTGCTGGTTATGTGTTTGCAGTGTTCAAAGGTTGCCAGATAACCCAGTAGTATGAACCCCCCCCCCCCCCCCGGTAACATGATGTAGTGCCTGAACACCTTGGGTGCCTGTAGTTTTTGTTGAAATGCCACTGGTATGGAGGGTCTTACATTTGTTGTGCCACCCTTTCTAGATCCTGATTGTTTGCCTTCATGCTTTCTTTGTTCACAGGTTGTCTAATGTAATGTTTCATTTCTCTTTGCACAGTGAATGTTGTGTTACTGTTTTCTGTTAGGATTGCCATGTATATAAATAGCCATGTATGAACTGTTGCTCTCTGACGTGTGCAGGTGGAGCATATTGAAAAATGCTGCCTTGAGTTATTCAGCAAGGACTACTGCTACAGCCTGATCTCCAATGTAAATGGTGAAATTTGCAGCCACTACCCCCGGCAGATCATCTTCTTGGAATATGAGAGCACTGATCGAGAGAGGCACACGTAAGTTATGACTCTGTCTGTTCTGAATCATACTGCGAAGAACACAAGCCTTAAATCACAGTAAATCACAGACCATACCTTGGGCATGTGCCAAGCACATGACTTTTACTGTGTACACGTGGCAAGAAGTGCTAGTGAACATTCGGTTACTGTAGCATGTGCCACAACTGGGCCAGTCGTGCAAAATCAGCTCACTTAATGGCTCATGTACTAGACAGATTTTGCCTCCACATACTTATTTACAGCACACCAGTAGTTCAAAGAAGAGAACTCTTACATTCCAGTTTATAAAAGCTTCCTCGCCCTGATAACTGAGATAAGATTCTTGCTCGTAATGTGATTAGTGGTTTAATTACCTGGACTAGAACCAAGCACATATGTTGGAATATGTGCTGTTTCCTGTATGGAACCCATGAAACTTATGCAGAGTCAGATCCTTGGTGTGTCAGGGTCAGTATTGTCTATTCTGGCAGCAGTTCTCCAGGGTCTGGGACAGAGGTCTTTCACATTACCTACTACTCCTTATCTGGAGATAACAGGGATTGAACCTGGGACCTTCTGCATGCGAAGCATATTCCCTGCAACTGAGCCACAGACCCTTTCCAAGTAATGGGGGAAGTAATAGTTGCATAGAAAACCAGTCACATGAAGCAGCTGGGGATGTCAAAGAGTAGAGGTTAATCTGATTTTCTTCTGGGTTTTCTGGATAGTGCTGCGGGGTTTCGCATCTCTGCAGGGTTTGCATCATTTGAAGTCCTACATGGAAGTAACATCCACTAGAGAATTGGGCCACATATGGAATAATGCTTGATGATCACGCTCTTTATACTTTCATGTCTTTTTGTTATATTAGTGTAATTTTATTAAAACTGCATTCCGTTTTTGTTCGCGATATGACCTGACTGCACTTACCCTGTTAACAAAATCTCTGCAATAAATGTACCTACATGCCTGATCTTTGCATCCATCAAATGTTTGTTGCTGATGTTCCTGATAGGAGGTGTAAAATGAGACAGCAGCTGTAGAAGGCTGCTTATTGATTTTATGAATGAGCGAAAACGTGAACTCAAGTCTCTAAAACCCTACTCCAGTGCTGGGTCTACTGCACTGCATTTTCCTTGGGGAGTATATGTGTTTTCCTTCTGCTTTCCATGTGTTCCTGTACTCCACTAATAGTTTCCTTCTGCATTCCACATATATTTGGACCGAATACAAGTGGCATGCTATTCTTCTCCTTTTTGCTTCCCTGTATGCAGCATTGTTCATGCTCCTGCTTTTGGAATGCTGCAGCACTTAGCCTATGTTTCCTTTTTGTGTGCCCATCAGTTGCAGGGTGCCCCCTGTGGGGTGTTTATGTTCCTCAGTAGCTTTCCCTGTATGTTAGTTTCCCTCATTTTAATATTCAGTTGCTTGGGAAACTGGAGATAGTAATGTTAAAACGTTAAGTTGGGCAGTTGAGTACTCCCAGGAGGTCAGAAGCCTTTTCTGGGATTAAATTGTGGAATTTGACCAGTAACGTGGAATCCGACTGTTTTGTAGAAGTGTCAGCAGTCTGTGGTTTTTAGAAGTTCCTTGACTGTACGTTTGCAGAGAGAACCTAGAGAGGTGGTAGAACGTTGTTACAAAACAGAGGAATTAGAAAGAAGAAGAAGAAGAAGAGATTGGATTTATACCCCGCCCTTCACTACCCAAAGGTGTCTCAGAGCGGCTTACAAACTCCTTTCCCTTCCCCTCCCCACAGCAGACACCCTGTGAGGTGGGTGGGGCTGAGAGAGCTCTTGACAGAAACTGCTCTTTTTCAAGGACAGCTGTGCCAGAGCTTGCGACTGACCCTGGGTCACATCAGCAGGTGCAAGTGGAGGAGTGGGGAATCAAACCCGGTTCTCCCAGATTAGAGTCCGCGCACTTAACCACTACACCAAACTGGCTCTTTTGAAAGGGGATTCAGTGACTCACCTTAGCTGGAAATTGGCAACTGGTGGTGCATAGGCTGTACTGAGGCGCACTCTGGGTCCCCCCATCTGCCAAACCCTTTCTCTGCACTTCTTGAAGTATTGCAGACTGTAGAATGAGTTAAATCAAGGACCATATTTGGACCTCCAAGACAAAAAGCCAACTGGAATAATTGATGTGTTTCCTAAAACAATTAGTTAATCCAACCACCAAAACATGTTTACCACTATCTAGAGCACTTAATACTAGCTGAGATGGTATCTTTCTCCTTTTTGGTATTGTCACTTTCCTCTCCTTTCTCCGATGGAGAAAGAAGTTCCTTCAGCCTAAGGCAGGGACACACCTTTAGATGGGTGGTTGTTGGCTGGCCAGTTTGTCCTCTAGGGTTATTCTTATGGCTTGCTGCTTTCCTGTATTTCTCTTCCTCTTCTTTTTTGTGATCTGCCTACTTCTCTGCTTGTGAAATGTTGAGGATTTCTGTATGAGGCTGAAGTTAGACAGATGGTGTTATTGTGACACGGGATCCCGGTTTCTTGCTTCTATTTAGCTTTAGGAACCTACAAGACCCACCTTCTCTCCTCTTCCACCTCAAACTTTGGAACATACAGTGGCTGACAGAATTGGGATTGGTTTGACTTGGAGCGAAGGGTTCTCATACTCTAGTGTTGAAAAGCCTGTCGCTAACCTGCCAAATTGGTAGTAGGGGATGGGCCATGACTCAGTGTGTGGACATCTGCTTGGTGTGGAGAAGGTCCCGTGGCATCTCCAGCTGGGGAAAGACCTGTCTGCTTGAGACTCTGGAGATGCTCTGCTCGTCAGAGGGGACCATAGTGAACTGGATGGATGAAGGCCATGCAAAAGGCTGTGCTCTTCTGTAAACTTTCAGCGGGCTCGTGTGGCTGGGTGGAAGAATAATGACGTAGCAGTTTTATGGCAAGAGAGGAAGACATGGGGTTGCATTTGTGCATGCGTATTGTTCTGGGTGTTCACAATCAGGTCTTGCTTGAGGACAGCCTTTAACCTTTTCTCTGGTTAGGCTAATAAATGATCATGGAGTGGGGTTTGTTTCCCCACTGAGGGTTCAGTGTACTCCCCGAAACAAATGTCCGAAATAAAGTCTGGTTGCTGCAGTGTGTGCCTCCTTCATGCTTGTGCTACGCTGGGATATGTGGGGAGAGTGGTCAGCTTTGGGGTGGGTGAGTTAAGATGGCCTTTTGGACCTTCATGATTCTGTAACTTTTAAATCAGTCTGAAACAGATAGGGGAAAGGCTCTGGTCATAATTATGTTGCACTCTTCTAGTCTGCCTGGTGTTGTCTTCTCCCCAACCACAGCACGAGCAAACTTTATCTTGGTTTCTGATAGGCCTGTTTTTGGGGGAAGGTTGGCAGTGCTTTGAATCTGGAGCCCTGTGAGGCACATAAAGAGAATTAGGACAGATGCTTTCTTCAGGCATCCTTTTCAGGCCTCCCTTCCCTACTGCCCCACCCTTGACCGGTTCACCTTCTTAGCCAAAAGCCACGTACACACAATGCTATGTTTCCAATTATAATAAATCACAGGTCAGTGTATTGAAGATCTGGAGGACAAGAGAATAAAGTATGATAAGCGGGGAACAAATTGCACAGTGGATCAAAAATATAAGTGCTGTTTCAGTAGCCTTTCTCATATTTTGTAAGGGGGTGAGTGAACACAATGGGGTGGGAGTGGGGATCGTGGGAGCAAGCTGTTCACTCCCTCTTACTGGCAATAATAGGAATGTGAGCATGGTCTACACATCTTGGGTGCTTTCTTCACATTCAGAGCCTTCTGTGTAGAACCTTGTACCTAATGGGTTCTCTCCCCACATACCTTGCAGTGGGGAAAAGTAGGTTTGGGCAGAATTTGCGTCTGTGATCGTCTTTCACTCTCTACCTCCTCCTCCCCTCCAAGAGCCCCTTGTGCTTAAGGACATCTGAAAAGGGCTTAGGCCCAGCTTGATATGCCAGAAACTTTCAGATACGTTGACCTAAGAGGGTACGGGGGTGGGGGTGGGCTTGCATGATGATGGTGCCTGTGGCAGTAGATCTACATGAGTGAATCTTGCATTTCCCTTTACACTGGTGATTCTCAAACAATCACTCGGGCACCTCAGTTGCCTAGTCACATTCAAGTCTAGTTGCACCTTTTTTTTCTCTTTTTTCATTTGTACCCCGCTCACCCCCGAAGGGCTCTGAGCAGCTTACACGTTGCATGGTGCAGAGACCTATGCAGAAACCCTAACTATGGCCACAGTACGTCTGGGGTGGGGGGAGCCCTACCAGATACCCTCCCGGCTCCGATCGTTCGTTTATCCGGCGAGTGGGCGACTTCTTCCAGTTCTCTCCGGTGTGGCTTCCGTGGCCTCCGCTGTTCTTTCGGCTCTCTGGCGACTCCTCTCGGGGGCTGTTGGTTAAGGGCCCTGGTGCACAGCTGCGGTGGGCGTCACAACGTCTTTGCGGCTCCGGACGTCCTCCTGCTGGCCACGTCATCAGCTGCCGAGCCAGCCGCCTCCTTGGGATGTCGCTGCCTTAGGAAACAACAAGATTTTCTGGGCATAAGCTTTTGAGAGTCAAAGCTCGAAGGCGTACACTTTTCAAATCTAACAATTCTAGTGCAGACCAACACAGTTACCCTCTGAAACTATCCTCAGTTGCATAGGATATACCTAATCATTTTTAGAAATGCCTTTCTGTTGCCGACATAAGACACGCGTACAAAAGCATGAACAGACAGAAATTGGATATCAGAAATCCACAAGCCATTTGGTTTACCAGGACATTCTCCTGACACTCAGTTCTTCCACGATGACAACAAAAAACATCATGGGGAGATTCCAGCATAAAACTGCTGAATCTTAGTAGGCCTCAAAGGCAGTAGATGCTTATCACACGGCAGGTATTAGCTTAGCTTTGGCGCCTATCTAAACAGGAGTCTGGTGGCACTTTAAAAAGGCTGTTCCTTAGAGGGTGTGCTGGTCTCTAAGGAAGTGGGCTCTAGTTTGCAGAAGCTCATGCTGGAATAAAATTC